CAACAAAAAAAACCCAACTTTAGATACTGCTACTGATAGTGCATCTTTCTCTTGCCAACTGTAAGAGCCCCCTGACTATCTGCAAAAAAGAAGCTGTTCCAACAGCTGCTATTGTCCAAGATTATACAAAAAGGCTTACTGGAAAGAAAAGTGTTTTATGTTCTCTTTCTGTGCTAGAAAGAAAAGATAAACCTATTAAATGGTAGCCAAGCTAGTGGATCTACATCTAGTAATGACTTGTTCCAAGAACATATTTAAATTGACTCTATGAAATGGCACCTTCTCTCTCACAAGCACCAGCAATTCAAGTCATACATAGGCTTTACTTGCCACTACTGTGAGTATTAAAAAAGGAATTTGCTTATCCCAAAACTCCAGGTTTGGGCAAATACTCCATGGTTCTAATAGTCCAATTTTTGGCACCCAGCTAAGAGGGATTTTGTTGCACAGGGATACTGTTTTGTATGTGTATCCTGCTGTGATTCAAAATAGCTGTTTTCTCAGGCTCGTCCATTCGGAATGATATCATGTCCCAAGTACTCTCGTTAAATTAATTGCCTGAGTTTTCTTTGTTTTACATGGTTGGATAAGCAAGGCTTGTTGCCTGTGAGCTCATGGAAATAACTTCATTTGAACGATTGTTCCATCCATCTCTCTACAGTCTCTATAGAAGATAATTAAAATCCATTTCACACCTCAAACAGAAACCATTTGTAACTATGACACATAGTTTGCAGCCCTTTTTTCCCTGGGATCCTTCTGTCTTTCCCATGCCAATTTATTTAGCATCAATTAGATTGGGTTTAAAAAGCAGAAAAGCATGTAAACAGCTCTGAACATTTTTTTCCTGGCACAGGGGTTTAATTCCATACAGGTAGAAGCTGCAAAGAAACACAGGCACAGAACAGCTGTATGTGTCCAAACATATCACATTTGGCTTACCCTCTTTAACACCAAAATGACATTTTACCCTAGAAGGAAGAATAGCAAAAACTATGGGAAAAAAATGCAAGTTTGAAAGTGAAAATGACCTCCCCAGACAAGCCTTGACATTACTGTCTGTGAAAACCAGGATTTTCCTATTTAGAAACTTGGAAGGACCTTGAAAACTGCTTTTCTTCCTCTCTAGGATGGTAGATTGCTCTCATCCCCTCTTATTTCTTGCTGAGGTAAGTAAAGGGACAGTAGTCTTCACTTTTCCAAAATAATAAGTGGTTGGGCTGGAAAGATGGGAGTCCATCTCTAGAGGAAGAAAAGTGACTCACAGTTGAACTGGGAGAATTTTGTGGACACAAAAGGCAGGAATTGGGTCCTTCAGGGCCACAGGGAAATGGGAGGAGGAAGGGCCCCCACATCTGAAACTGAGCACATATTTCACACTCTTCCTTGCCATCTGTGGTGAAGCACAGTCAGGGCTGCTGCTGCTGCCACACCAACACCCTCCTCTCCTCATCTTCTCCACAGCTGTGTCCATGTGAAGGGCTGCACAGCCCTGCTCTGGCTATGGGCACCAGTGAGAAGAACATGAGGAGAGTGTGGATCCCGTCATTCCTGCATTCCCACCTGAGCAGTGAAACCACTGGCTGTCCCTTGTTTAAACTACAGTGTCATAAAAAATGGGTGCTGCTTGCAAAACAGAGCAATGTACAGAAGTCTCAGTCACATGCACAAAGTCCCTTAAGGAAGCACAAAGAGCAACTTTCCCAGGTCTTGGACATCTGGTGTACCTGTTGAAGTTACAGAGCCAAGGAGATGACCTACACCAAAAGCACTGCAAATTGCCATGCTGCTAAATAGCACCTTAGTTCCGGCTTTGCCTTATTCCAAGCCCCGATATATACCTTGTCACATACCCTGACACTTATACATGAGCTGTCACGGAACAGGATCAAAGAGAAAAGTCCACACCCAAGAAATGCCATCCAGGATTATTTTCCTGCCTTCCCCTACAGGAACTTAATCTTTTCAAGCTGAAAGAGGGGAAATTTAGGTTAGGTATATGAATGAAATTCTTCACTGTGGGGGTGGTGAAGCACTGGAACAAGTTGCCCAGAGAAGTTGTGAATGCCCCATCTCTGGAGTATTCAAGTTCAGGATGGATGCAGCTTTAAGCAACCTGGTCTAGGAGGAGTATCCCTGTCTATGGTAGGGGGCTTGGAACTCTGGGATCTTTAAGGTCCCTTCCAACCCAAACCATTCTATGATTCTTTCAAGAACCTTCTTTGTATGCAGGTGTTATGGAAATACAAGTTCCCATGCATAGCAGAAGGATGCAGCCATAGCTCGGGCCAGCCAACCAAAACCAGCTTGCGGTCTCCCCAGCACTGTAACAATAGCAAATAAGATGGACTAACCTGAGTTTCTAGGGGATGTTTTCAATCAAAATACATGTCTGCCCGCTTACTTCACACCTGCTGAACCTGTGCTGCTGTGTCTTTACTACTGTTGTTACCAATGCTAATTAAAACTAGCCCTGAGTTTGCCTATACATGCTGCAGTTGTTTTATTGCGTAGGCAAGCCCCAAGGTCCCAAACCTGCCAGAAGTCTGAGTGCAGTCCTCTGCCTCAGGAGCAAACTGAGAGCTGGTATGACTGTTTTGGGGTATGCAGCAGTTCATTCTCACTGGAGGAAAGTTGCCTAATAAATGAGCCGGTAACTTCTGTACAGCTGCAGATGCTCGGCCGATTGACAGTGGAGCTCTGAGCAAAAAACCAAAGGGAAGGACTTTCAGAAATTAGGATACTACGGTGAAAGTGAACTTGCAGAGATTTACAAAAGGAACTTTACATTAAATTTCCAGGCATGCAGAGCTTTGCCATTCAAGTGCACATTCGTCATTCAGAAAATCTGCCATAAATTTTTGACTTGTTCACATCCACTTTTAAATATCTCAGATCATATTATTTGACCCAGATAGTTACTTCGAAGCTCCAAACCACTTGAATTAAGAATTTCTACAGGAAACTTGAAGGGGTTAGGAGTGGCAAAGGAAAATGCAGATGCACTTTCATAAAGCTGCTTAGCTGGAAAGAATTGCCAGAAAGTATCTTTGTGCTAATGTCAGCCAATTTTTCTGAATTCATTTTGAAACAGTTCATCATTCATCCTCCTCACCTCCTTCCAATTTACAGCAGTCACTGTAAACATAACCAGGACAGCACAAGCAGATGATAGAACACTTTCCTTTTAAGAAAGACGATGGCGTAACTTCATACCTCTATGAACTTCACTATATTTGGTAAAGATTTGGTAAAGGTTTGCATTCTGTGACCACTATAGGAACAGTGGTAGTCATTTCTGTATACCTTGAAAAGCTAAGAAAATTAATCCACTACCCAAAAAATATATTCAAAGCAAGTAGTTTACAATAAGCTAATCTCTCTTTTTTAAAAATATTATTAAACAGCAGAGGCAATCAGGCAGGCATAACACTTCAGTGCTCCAGTGACTTCAACAAAAGTTGCAGTGGTATCTCACCTTGTCTCTGAATATGACCAAAAGAGGGATTTTTTTTGGTAAGAAAGAATGTGGCACACAAAGGTAAAAGCCTTATACCAATCTCAGTTTGTCATAGTTTTCAGTTTTGTAGAACTTAATGTATGCACGAAACAGAAATTAAGAGCATTAAAGTGAACAGCTGGTGGTAGTCTGGTGGAGATTAGACTTTTTCCCCATTAAAGATAAATACAAAAAAGCACTAATGAATTACTTTAGACTAACGAAGGATGAATTCAAACATCACCACAAAAGCAAATTCTCTTAAAAAGGGCAGGACAAATCACTTCTAGTACAAACATAAAGTATGCTGGGCAAGCTTCTTTTAACAGACAAGTTGTGCTTGTAAACGCAGGCAGATCTCTCAGCACATGCAGGACAAACCTCAAAAATTTCAGCCAGTTAAACAAGACTCACCAGCCAAAACCATTAAATTCTGAAACACATTTACAAGACACCTTTTCCAGCTGAAGAACAAGGTGTTCAACCACAAGATGTTGGTGAGTAACAAGTCACATGTCTGTACACGCCATGTTTTAAAAATCCAGTTTTCTCTGCTCTTCTGGAAACAGAAGTATCACAAGCCTGTGATGGCAGAAAACTTCACAAAGAAAAATTTCATAGTTAAGAGAGAACCTCAAAGAGACCAAGGAAAATGAGGACAGATTTCAAGATGTTGCCAATTCTGGAGACTACTGTTACCACAAAAAGAATACAGAAAGTAGAACTTATATTAAGTTGTTTTATAAAAGCCAAAAAAGCAGTGGTTGGGGTTGCTACTTGTTTTGATAAACAGATGACAAGGCCAATACAATGTGTTTAAAAATTGCAGCTTCAATTATAGAGGATATGTATGTACACAGGGCTTTTTTTTTTTTTTTTAACACAACCAATTAAGTCATAGCCTGTCAGGTATGAGCAACCTTTACATTTATGACAGAATGTTACGAGAAATAAAGCACATAATCAAATTCTATGTTACATAGCAGACTCTGGAGAAGACCATCTACCCAGGCTTTAAACACTGTTAAGCCAAACAGAGAACTTCTTCAAGCTGAAACATCTTTTCATGTGAAAGGAATTTGCAACTTTAGGGTCTACATGGAAAAAGAACTGCCCAACAGCCTCTGTACCCTGGACCGAGATTTTGAGGATGAAAATTGTTTTCTCTTTCTTTCCACCCTTTGCTAGAAACACTTGGTGTCAAAAATTTTGGAACTGATTTAGCTTGAGTCAGTAGCTACAAGGGAACTCAAAATCTTCCAGAATAGGGCTTCCTCGGCAGCAGCAGTATGAACTACACACCTAGATTAGATCAGGAGTACAATTACTCTGAGACTGGCAGTTGGAAAACAAGCAGCAGACACAAGGGAAAAACATTTAAGAGGTCCCGTTCACTCTGTAACACTTGGGTGCCAGAGTCAAATGTACTGTAAGTTTTCAAACAATTTTCTATCATTCGAGCAGTTTCTTCAAGCTGTATGATTGCTAATGAACACTGAGATATCTCATAGATTCTTCATTTATTCTACTTGTTTCAGTGAAAGCAATTATATCAGAATCATGATTGGAAATAAACCAGTGCCAGTCTTCCAGCTTTTCTAACCATGAGGACAAACAGCTGTAGTTATTATCTTTGGAATAGTGAGAAAAATCCAGCCTTCCCCATGTCTTTCTCTCCACAAAAAGTATTTTTTTGTATAATAAATATTAGGGGTACAGCAGGCAGAAGCAAACTCACAGGGGAATGAATACTAAAAGAAGAATTAAGCTGGACTTTTATTACATTGAAATTTCTTATTGACTGACAACAATCATTAACTGAAGTATAACAGGCTAGTAAAGCTGGACAGTTTGCATAGGTATTTTTAAACAGAAAAGAGAAAGATGACAGATAATTTTAAACACAGAAATATTTTCACCTAAAATAAGGACAGTACAAAAATAATTAGCACATTTACATTAATTTATCCAAGGCCACCTCTTCATGAACAGAAGGGAGCTAAGACCACAGTATGTAGAAATAATACAGTTTAAATTCTCTCAGATCTATTTCAAACAGAAACTAGGAAGGTGCCTTCAAAAGTTGTTCCTGCTTGAGATCAGGGAGAGGAACTGAACTCATCAAACTTGAAGCCATCAAATCCAACACTCTACCATGCTGTTATTGAAAAAATAAAGCTGGCAAACTAACTGTACAGCCTGTGGTCCTGACTTTGACATTTAAAGGACAGAGACAAAATTATGATCTATGAAGTAAGACCAGCCACAAGCAAGAGTTAGGCCATATGTTCAATATAAATCTCGGATCTAAGCTTCTCTTTATAACAAGATTAGCCAGGCAAATCTGAGATAACTTGAGTTTACTATTTTTATCTGTTGCAAAGACCACATGAAAAAGTAAATAAAGACAATGACATTTTGTGACAGAAAAACTAAATACAAGAACCAATTAAATAAAAAAAAAAGAACCAGGAGCCCCAAAATACCTAGTAAGACCAGCCTACTAATTAGGCAACAACTTATACAGATAGATTGGAGAGACTTAGTCATCACCTGTTAGAAACAAATATGCAAAGGCTTAAAAATTTATTTTTATCATACACAATATAGTGCAGTGAATATGGATAAACTCCGGCTGTTCATCAGTATGACAGAGAACATCAGATTATAAATCTATTTCAGATACAGATGTGTTTTTAAAGTGGTATTTCTGAACCCTTGTAAATAGATGAACAAGCTTCCATTTCTGTAAGCAGTTCTGATGACATAGTGTTAGTGTACTGAAGTATCTTCATTTACATTTCCTCAAGGCTCCTCTTGATAGCTTCTTGCAGTTCTACATCTTGCTCTGTACAAATAAAAAAAAAATTATAATCTCAAACTGTAGTTGATAACCGGCCATAAACACAACTATCTCAATATTAGTACATAAAGCAACAAATTACTTCTGTGGGCAATGTCAGTAGACAGCAAAAAAACCCAGAGAAACAGATGAACATATTTTCCCTCCTGTTATATGCTATCTTTCCAACACTTCAAAATAAAGAAAATACCTTTACAACTTTCCACTGTACTAACTAGGGACAGCCCAATGATTACTTTAGGATCATGATGGAAGTATGTATTTAGTGGTCAAAATAACAGCAAGATTAGAACCCATGTGTATGCACCAACAAAAATAAACAAAGCATTAAAACAAAACACACACACACAAAGATAACAAGCAAAGAGGTTTCAGCTTTCTCATTCCAGTTCCTTATCCATAGATATTCCCATACCTACATTCTGACTTGGCACCACTGTTGTCACTCTTGGTAGAAAGGCTAGACAGGTAGAGAAAAAGTCACTATCAACAGTAAGAATAGTTTAGATCAGGGCTGTACTGTAGCATTTTTGATGGTGGGGGAAAAGACTGCATTGTAATCATCTGACTTGTTAACAATCTCTCTTAAACAACTTTCACGATACTTGAAAATAAACTTTGATTTTGCATTACATTTAGGTAGTTTTGGGCACTGATTGTTTGATGTTAGTGGATTAAATATCGTAAGTTAGACAAGGCATGGATGCACTGAAAAATACTAAAATCAATAGTATAGTAGGAAAAATAAATGCAGTTTTCAGACACACTGTCATTCTTGAATTATTCCTCTACTTTAGCAGGACATAAGGACATCCTATTAAAAAAAAGCAGTCTGTTCTTATGACAAAAGTAACAATTTTAAAACTTTAATTATTGTTGGGCTGTTGTACGTAAGGCTGAGATTTGGAACAGAGACTGTATCAATGAATGCCCTCTCATGTCAGCAGAGCCACAATCACACACCTGGACTTTCCTGTAAAATCCGGTACTACTGATAAAGAGAGTTTCTGAAAGAAAAATATTCCATGGCCACAGAAACAAAAAAAATTTTTGAAACCACAATAAAGCAGAAAACCATTTGCAGACAGCTGCTTGCATTAAAATATGTTGTCATTTAGCCAGTAAGACTGTGCAAAAATCCAGAATAAGGTCCAAATGGTGACTCATCCTTAGCCAGGCTGCTTCATAAGGTCAGATGCCTTCAGCACTGCAGCATCACAAGTAGGTCCTCCTGTATGCACCAAATGCCACTGCTATTCCTGTACTAGGGGGACCTGAGCACACCTGGAGTGTGCTGGAGATGAATGTTGGACAATTAACAACAGTATTTAGTATCAGTTGGTAAACTTATAACTGAGTTTTATCACTGAGCTTGCACAGATCTTTTTGTATTGTTTGTTTGGTTGGTTGGTTGTTTTTTGTTTTTTTTTTTTTTAAGTTTGGTTTATTTCCATCAGGTAGAAGGGCAGAATCAAGCCTTTAAGCAAATACATTATTTTCCAAGTGCACTGTGGTTTGTCACCAAAAATTCACGACTGCCTTGTATGAACATCACCAATAAGCACAACAGCAAAAGGATGAAAACAGTTTCAAATAAGGTAAGATAGGATGTGAATAGAGAGATTTACTGCTGATTCAAACTTCTGCATAAATCTACAGCTCTCAAGAGACCAGAGCACTTTATTGAGATATGATACATAATTTTGAATTATTTATTCAAAAGTTCAACTATTTAGTCAGTAGTTCTGCTCTAAGAAAACACAGTCATATTAAACTGGTACAAAGTGAACTCAGTCAAGTCTTGAATTGCACAATACTCTCTTGTGCCCCAGTGAAAGAGATGTTGAGTCTGCTGGCATAATTTTCAGGTTCAGAATTTTTTTAATTTATAACTCACCACAGTGTTCTTCACTACTCAAGACTGTCCAGCACAGTTCAGACAGTATTGCTAAGAGGTCACTTTCTGCAAAACTGATTGTAAGCTTAGTTTCTATATCTTCCAAAATTAGTAGTGCTTCTGAACACAGAAAAGCAAAAATTAACAGACCTTCCTGTTTTTTTACTTCTTCTAAGCTCCTTTTCACTGTTAGTTTCATATCTTCATCCTCTTCGCTGTCTGAACCTTAAATGCACAAACAAAACATAAATTACACAGTTTCTAATAAAGACATTAACAGCCTCTCTTGCATTTCTAACACTGACGGTTAGATTTGAAGAGTACACCTGTTATCAACTAAAATATCAAGATAAAAATATACATTATAGTGTAGTTTAAGACAGCAACTCAAGAGATAGAGTTATTTTTTCAGCTTCCTTCTTTCCCTTCTCCCCAAAATCTACAGGCAGACTACTTCAATTTTATATAATTTTAAAGCAGTAAAAAGAAATAATAGGTGCAGAAGCTACTGTGTCTACTGCAATTTTTTAGTATTCAGTTATTAAAAAATGCCATTACTCACTTTCTGTAAAATGTATCAAGGATTTAATTATGGGAAGAAGTGCTATAGCATGTCTCTGCCTACAAATGACCACAGCTGTATTTTGTTGCCCAAATACTGCATTTGAACAATGGTGTGCTAAAACTCAACTGAGCAGTGCAATTCAGCAGATGTTGTTGTTTCAAGTCCCATAGAATCAGAAAGTTGATGCACTTAATTTAATCTGCTAATTCACTGAAATGCAGCTCAGCCAAAACTCCACCACATTTCCCTTTCTTAAAAACACTCTTCACAAGGCTGGTTCCCAGCTCCAGAATGACAGCTCTATTTTGAAGCATCTAAGAGAGATTTGTGTATCTAAGGTGGTGGTGTTTGGTTTTTTGTTTCATGTTTTTTTTTGTTTGTTTTGGTTGGTTGTTTTTTCCAATTAAACAGAGCCTTGGTAAAATACAGGTTAAAAAGTAAGCCAGTGAGTCACAATATATATTCATTCTCCTGCTACAGGCTATTGCTATTTTGGGAGATGGTCTCTGTAATGAGGTCTTACAGCACTAGCAGTCAACCAGGTCTCCTACAGTCATACCAACAGAAAGACTTCCCATAAAGTCATCACATATATTAGTACATTGATGTACTTCTGATTACATTAACCAGCAATGAACATTCCAATATGACCATCCAATTTACTGACTGTGTGACTTCTGGTATTTTAAATTACTCAGCTTAGGTATTCAAAGTGTCAGGTACACTTTCCACAATTTGTTTTGAAATCCCTGACATATAATCTGTTTGAGCAGCAACCTTACTGACTTTCCCAATTCCAGGAATACAAACTCCAACAGCTGGTGTCAAACAGTGATCAGCAGCCCCAAAAGATGCCAGAAATAGATAGTCCTTCTCCAGTCACTTGCCAGACTAACTTTGAACCCCTTCTGTAGCTGCCTACTATTTCTGGGCGGAAGAAAGACTATTTTTTACATCATTTTTCAAAACAAACAAAGCAAAGGAAAGAAAAATTCACACAACCTCCCCCCCCCAAAAAAAAAAGTAGTCAGCACAATTACTAATGAAAGGGAGGAAAAAGCAAAAGGCTTTTCACAAGTGGCTTCTCCCTTATTAACCATCCTTTTAATCTTCTAGTCTGGAAGACATCTTAGACTGCTTTAAAAATATTTATACCTTTCATGGGTGGAACAGTTGAAGCAATCACTCCCTAACTCATTTCTTGTCATAAGTCCACTTGACATAAGAACATTTCTAGGGATGGCACATCTACAACTTCTCTGGAAAACCTGTTCAAGTGCCTCACTACCCTATGAGTAAAAAATTTCTTCCTAACATCTAATCTATATCTTTCATATTTTAGTTTAAAACCATTCCTCTATGTCCTGTAACTATCTGGCCATGTAAAAAGCCCCTCTCCCTCTCTTTTATAAGCCCCCTTTAACTACTGGAAGGCTGTAATCCCCCCAGAGCCTACTCTTCTTCAGACTGAACAACTCCAACTCTCTCAGCCTGTCTTTGTTATGAGAGGTGCTCCAGCCCTCTGATCATCTTTGTGGCCTCCTCTGGATCCACTCCAACAGCTCCATGTCTTTCTGGTGTTGAGGCCCCCAGACCTGGATGCAACACTCAAGGTGGGGTTTCACAAGGGCAGAGTAGAGGAGGACAATTGCATTCCTCCACCTGCTGGCTGCTCCTCTTTTGGTGCAGCCTAGGACACTCTCGGCCTCCTGGGCTGTGAGTGCACACTGCTGACTCATGTCCAGCTTTTCAGCCATGAGAACCTCAAGTTCTTCTTCACAGAGCTACTCTCAATAAGTTGCTCTTCCAGTCTGTACTCATGTCTGGGATTGCCCTGACCCAGGTGCAGGCCCTTGCATTTGGACTTGTTGAACTACACGAGGGTCTTTATGGGCCCACTTCTCAAGTTTGTCCAGGTCCCTCCAGATGGCATCCTGTCCTTCAGGTGTGTCAACTGCACCACTCAGCTTGGTGTCATCTGCAAATGTGCTGAGGGTGCACTCAGTCCCACTGTCTGTGTCATTGATAGAGATATTGAAGACCACTAGTTCCAAGACAGACCTTTGAGAGACACCATTCATCACTGGCCTCCTCCTAGACAGAAGCCACTGACTACTCTCTGGCTGGATCCATCCGGCCAATTCCTTATCCACCACCAAGTCCAAACATCAAATCCACATCTCTCCCATTTAGAGATAAGGATGTCACGCTGGGACTGTGTCAAGGCCTTACAGAAGTCTAGGCCCATTGCATCAGTCAGCCTTCCCTTGTTGACCATCATAAAAGGCCACCGGACTGGTCAAGCAATGTCACAGAACAGCAGAGGTTAGAAAAGACCTCTGGAGGTCATTTTGTCCAGCCTCCCTGCTCAAGCAGTATCATCTAGCTGGCTGTCCAGGACAATGTCCAGAGAGCTTTTGAGTATTACCAAAAACACAATGTAGTGGGGAGCTCCAAATTTGTTAGTTATGACCCTACTGAGCGAAAGGATCACCTTCCTCAAACTGCTGGCAACAATCTTCCTAATGCAGCCCAGGGAACTGTGGGCCTTCTGAGCCACTAGAGCAAAATGCTGGCTCATGCTCAACTTGGTGTCCGCCAGGACTCCCAGGTTCTTTCCTGCAAAGCCGTTTCCCAGCTGGTTGACTCCAGGTCAACATATATTGATGCTTGGGGCTATTCCTCCCTAGGTGCAGAACTCTGCACTTCCCTTTGTTGAACTTAATGAGGTTCTTGTCAGCCCACTTCTCCCTATCAAGGTTCCTCTGGATAGCAGCACAATCCTCTGGTGTATGAACTGCCACTACCAATTTTTGTGTCATCAACAGACCTACTGTGGGGACACTCTGCCCCACCATTTAGGTCATTAATGGACATTAAACAGGACCAGACCCAGTATGGACCCCCCTGGGGTACGCAGCTGGTTCCTGGCCCCCATCTGAACTCACCATGTTCCAGGTCTGGCCATTCAGCCAATTTTCAATCCACTTCATTTTTCTCATCCAGCCCACACTTCATCAGCATACACTCCTGGTACTGCTGGCATCTTCTGATGAGGAATTTTTAATTTTGAGTAATCAGACACATCCTGTCTCTCTTGTCAAAATGCTCAGCACATGCTACAGCTCCCAGCTCTCTGGGGTCAGAGGAAAAGCAGTTGCCCTGTTTCAGAGTCAAGAGATCTTAAGATAGACCCTCTTCTCTAGTACATTTTGTTAAATAAACATAAGCTAACAACCTCTGACTATACCTATTCTCTCAAAAGAAATCCTACTGCTCACTACTGTCATCATATATCGACATATTCCTGCTGGAAGAATCAGAAAACAGGAAGGCAAACTCTGGAGGAATATAAAGCTCAGAGATTAAAAATATTAAGCCTATAGATGGGAGCAAATACAGTGATTTTTTTTGATGTTTGATGAGTCTCTCATAGAAACCTATTCTGGGAAGAGACTGGTAGCATTCACAGAATGCAAGCGCCACCCGCTGTCCTGCCATCAAAGTGCCACAGCTTGAATTTGGATTAATTGCCCACGCAGCTCAGGATAATTTACCAGTATATGTAATTCTCTTCTCTTGCAACCTCCCCAGCTACCACCATACCTTTAATAACTTCCATCAGGTTTACCAGTTCTTGTGTCTCACCAGGGACTTGATTTCCCTTCCCCAGCTTTCATCCTGTTCCCTTGCCACACAACACAGCTCCTCTGTCCATTTCATTGTGTGGTTTCACACCCTAACCTTCACTTTTCTCTCCTGCAATGCTCCTTCTCTTAGTCATTTCAGTAACTCCCAATCTCACCTACCTCTTTCCCAATGTGCAGTGACATTCACATCACACTTAACTCACTGTCTCTCCAACCACTGGCCCTTTTCCTTTTACAGCAGGTGTCTGGAGTTTTAGTGCTACCTTAAGGATATTATCTGTTACCTCATTCAGGATCCTAGTAACTACTTAGCCAAAAACTTACAATCAATACCTCCTCCTTACCTTTGTCAGCAATGATGTTTGGTATGTGCAACTATGTTGCCTTAAAAATATTGTTCCCTTAGCTTCTAAAATCTTTTACTTTATTCCTTCTTTAGTGTGTCTCTAGAGGATCCTCCCCACATACTCCTCCCCAATACTTACTTCTTTAATCTGTTTCTTCATTAAGGTAACATCATCTGTAAGTGCAAATACAGCTACTCCCGGATGGGTTCACAATCATACAAGACCTCTCTTCCTCCATGCAACCCAAAGCTTCCCTCTATGTATCTCTCCCTACAGATGCTCATTCATCTGTTCATTCAAGTGTAGCACAACTAAAAATAAAGCTCTCAATCCTTCACTTTCCTCCAATTCCACTTCTTGGAAACTGTGGCTAATATCACGATGGTCACTCGGAATTTCATTTAACCTTCATCTTAAGACACCTCAAATTCACAATAAAATTAAACCTTGAGGATTTCTTTGTATTATCTGATTGGTGAAGTCTTCCCATCTTCATCCACTTGGTTACAATTATAGTTCAGACTCATTATCTTAGGTCTCAATATACTGCTTTCTCCCTAGGGCATATTCATACATTCAAAGATGCACACAAGAAATGCCACTGACATACCAAAGGCAATAGTAACTTCCTGTTGTAGCTAAACACAAGGTTACAATTGAAGGGTGACTTTCTTATCACTCCCTACTGCAATAGGCTGTGGCTGCTGTAATAAAGGAATAGATTCTTACTACAGGAACTATAATTCATTCATGGTGCATCACACTGCAGATGTTCATACTCTTCACACTCAGTTTCTTTGGGAAGTGGAGGCTGGAAGCTGTAACCTATCTTTAGTCATCTGCAGTGTGTTTTAAGTGAACGTTTGGAAAAAGCGCAGATTGGGGACAGATGGATTCATACTGGACCTCAACACCCATGAAAATCTTTACTATGGAAAAGGCAAGCAACTCCTCTCAATTTCTTCTATAAATTAATTCTTACATCCTCTTAAATTCTTTTGTAGGCTGTATATAAACCAAAAGATTTTTGGAGTAGTGGGAGCTTAGCAGCATTTATCAAAATGAACTGAAATCTTGTTTTTCTAAATATAAAAAGTCACATAAGCTGCATTTGGTAGTACTTAAACACTTCAGGCAATAGTAGCAGACTGAAGATGCAGGCTGACAACTCCACTTGAGCACAGTGGAAACATACCCCTTATGGGTCACTGAAAGAGGTGCAGTGGCTATTTGGCAGACAACTTACTGCATCACTACACCACCGATTTTGACATGCTCATGAGACAGACTGGCTCTTCAAAAGAAAGAACAAGAAATACTCCAGAAAATATGCTCCTCTTATTATTAAAAAGAGTCTGTTTCACATAAGAGCTCAGTCACTAAAGGATCTCATTTGAATATGACTGTGAGAAATACAGTTAAGCTAAAACCATCAACTTACACAAAAATAACTTGTCAACCAAGAAGTTGTGGCATTCCTGCCAGTGCCTGGATGGCTATGACAGTCCCTAACCTACCATCAGCTTTGGCCTCAACACTAACCACTGCTCCTTAAAAGTATAAGCTGTCACTTCAAGACACACGATATTGTCAAGACGTAGACAATGAATAATGGTGTTTTCTGTGTGCTACAAATTTTTTGTTACAAAGGGAGACATTGAAAACTCTTCCCTTCTGCCCTCCCCAAACCACTCTATTAAAACATGCATGAAGCTCCCATCGTGTCTTGTGCCTTTAGCATAAAAGCAAAAACCTTCTACATTTATGAACTCAGGCTTAGCAGCAGAAGAGAACAAACAAGGTTATATCTCTTGCCTACTCTTTTCATGCCTCAAAGGAAATTCATGCATCTGCTACAGCCAAGGCTCACCTAAAGTAACATATGGTTAATATCCTATTGCAACATATGCAGGAACTTTTATTTTTATTTATTTTAAAATGAATTCACGTACCACCGTTCCCACAGCAGTTCTGCTGACATAGTAAAATGGTTCACAAGATGCACCTGTCAGATTGCCAGGTGCCAGAAGCTAATGACAACTAATGACAACCCAGCTGCTCAGAAGCTAATGACAGCTCTGTGAAGCTGATTCAGGGAAACAGGTTTTTCATTTTGCAGTTCATCCAATACCAACAACGGTCCTATATTTTTCAACATGATTCTCTGTCCAAAGTGTTTCTAACTTATTTCTCCTCCAGAATAACAGTCACAGGCTTGATAAAGTCACAAAGCAAGCAATTCTTGTTTACATTTCCTTACACTCAGCTGCATTTGTGTAATAGATCAACAAGTTATACCAGCCTATGATACACTGCACAACTTTCCATCTCAACCCTCCAGCACTGCTCTTGCCACACTAAGACTTGGAAACGATGGCTGATGCTGCTGAGCTACACGCTGTGTGTGCTATGCAGTGGCTTTATCTTTTTAAAGACAAATTTTATAAACTCTTGGTAACAACACCATCCCACCACGCAGCAAATATAGGGCTGTTACCAAAACTGAATTTTCTAATGTTCTGTTTTAATACAGAAAGAGGAGACAAAGGCAGCTCTTGCTGTCTGGGTCCCCCCCTGCTGACACTGACTGAAAAACGGGACCAAGGATAGATCAAGACATTTTTGTTCCTTACCAGTTTGCTAGGGAATAACAACAGCCAAAGGAATCATGTGCCATTCCATGACTTTTCTGCTCAAAGATTATATTTTTTTTTAAACAGTGATCACACAGATAAGTGGAATGCACAATAATCAGCCAGCCAGCAAGTTAAGGTGTGTGGCCCCTGAGTAGTGCCAATCACCATAATAGTAAATTAAATATTAACTTAGTAAAGGACATTGAAAGAACGGTTAAATTAGGAGACTTCCAAAAGCAAAACCAATATAAAAAAGAATACTTGAGTATTATTTATACGCAGAAAAGGGTTAGATCAAAGTCATCACCTCTGAGCCAATGTACACTGGTGAATAAAGCTGTAACAGCAGAACTACATAGGCAGGGAGCCAGAGTACGCTTATATAGCAAAACAGTCATTCCCCTATCCTCACTGTCTCATATTGTTAAGTTGCACAACAAACCATACAAGAAACGAAGCCTGTACAGGCTAAATCAACTGCTTACAGCCCTCCCAAAAAATACGCAACGACCACAAAGCAAAAACAGCTGCCCACATTAATTTACAGTTATACAACTATAATTACATTAGAAGAGATCTATCAATCTAGAAATTTCTATATACTCTACAAAAAAAATTTGTACTGGGAATGCAATAATGCATAGAATCATAGAATTGGAAAGGACAGTAAAGATTATCTAGTTCTAAGTCCCCTGCAGGGACACCTTCCACTACGCTCAAAGCCCTATCCAACTCAGTTGCTCAAAGCCCTATCCAACCTCGCCTTGAACACTTTCAGGGACGGGGCATCTACAGCTTCTCTGGAAAACCACCACTCAGTGCTTCATCACCCTCAGAGTAAAGAATTTCTTCCTAATACCTATTCTAAACATACCCTCTTTCAGTTTAAAGCCATTCCCCCTTGTCCTATCTATGCCCTTATAAAAACTCCCTCCCCATCCTTCCTATAGGCTGCACTTAGGTCACCCTGAAGCATTCTCTTCTTCAGACTGAAGGAATCCAACTCTCAGCCTTTCCTCCTAGAAGAGGTGCTCCAGCCCTCTAATCATCTTTGTGGCCTTCTCTAGACTTGCTCCAACAGGTCCATGTCCTTCCTGTGCTGGAGATACCAGTGCTAGCTGCAGTGCTCCAGGTGGGGTCTCAAGAGTGTGGAGTAGAGAGGGGTAGAATCCCCTCCATTGACCTGATGGCCAAACTTCTTGTGCTGCAGCCCAGGATACAGTTGGCTTTCTGGGTTGTGAGCGCACGTTGCCAGCTCATGTTCAGCCTCTCATCCACTGTCCCCCAAGTCCTTCTCAGCTGGGCTGATGTTGATCAGTTCATCCCCCAGCCTGTATTGATACCAGGGGATGTGTCACTTTATGGATAACCCCTTCCCCTTGAGAAAATGGACTGCACTAATGAGAGTGACAATTCTGTAATTAATTATGCCAAGGAATTTTACTGGTATGGCTGATTTTGGCTGGGAATCATACCTCCATCATCCAGCTGAAAAATCTAGATCAGCAAATGCTTGCAGTGGCCAGAAAACTCTATAAGCACCTTTTCTGTATCAAAAGCACATAAATCAATTCCAGCTCATCATAAACAATTTTTTTCAGGAAACTATTTCATTATCCTATCTTTCTTTTTCCCTTTATTCAATCAATGCCAATTCACTATTCACTTCACTTTAGTCTGATAGCTCTCACAAACCTGTATCCAGACTAGCAGTGTATTTTTTCAGAAAAAGGTTATGCCTAATTCAGAAACAGCTTTCTGTAATATGCCCACAATTTACAACCCCACAAAAACAAAACAAGAAGCCAGGAAAAGCAGTAACATGTCTACAGAGAAATGTCAGGTCTTCTAGGAAAATATCAAGCTATTTTAAAATACTGACAAGTATTAAAACTCATCTCAGCTCGGGTATCCTTAGTTTGAAAATGAGCTGGCTCAGTCATCTTTGATTATCCCGTATAAAACCAATGTGATTGTTTTAGCATGTCATTAGAATCTGGCATTTTAGAGAACTTCAAAACATCTCGTGAATTTTTTTTTTTCCAAATAGATGTGTGAGTCGTGCCAGTGAAGACAGTTGTCAATTATAGGAAGTAGCCAGGAAGACAATCAGAGTTAAAATAGGCAGAAATATTTTGAGAAATAACGATGCTCTAGCAGGGTCTCATTTGTTTTGGACCCAGAACAAATCAAGCTAAGCAGATTTGAGTACAAATTGACAAATGTGCACACAAGAGTGCTGCTTCTCTTTAACTAGAAAGGAGTTTTCAGACTCCAACAACAGTTTGTCTCTCACTATAATAAAGAATACAGGGACAACAGAGTTTATGTTGAATAAAAATGCTTAATTAAGTCTGGTTTCAAAACCTGCTCCAAGCAAAATTATTTTCTGATCTATAGTTCATTGAAATTCCAGTACAATGCAAGAAGCATCAAGCAACAGCTTGTGTTACCAGCATAAGGATTCAAGTCTTTTATTGGAAAGAACTATCAGTTTACTGGAAGAATTGTGTTTAATATTTACTTTCTACCTTTTGTGGTATCTGAAATGCTGTTTAGCAAGGCACACATCATGTCTCCTTCAATGTGGTGAGGATTTAGGATGCAAGCTGACCGCTGGGTCATCTTAAACTGGTTTTCCAGTTCCAGGAAGCTTTTATCTCCAGAAAGTACAGTGAAAGGAATTTGCTTGGGCAGGTGCTCATCCAGACGACCAGCCTGTAGGGAAACAAATGACAAGTATTCAACTGAGATCATGTTCTTCTCTCGTGGCATTTGGTTAGCTTTGTGCAAGATAGGTCTTCATTGCTTTCTACAGCAATTTACTCCTGCTTTTATGATCCAAGCCACGTTATACCACTGTGAAAGGTACTGTTTCAAAAGTTTGATCCTGCATTTCTTCTCTACATACAACAATAGATACAGATAATGACTACCAGAACAGTAGAGTATGGAACAAATTCCTAAAAAGCAGCATTTTAGAACAATCTCCACATACAATAAGTCATCTGTCCAGAGCATTTTAAGAATAACATAGAAAGTGAAACATAACATACAACCACTGTTGCAAAATGTGCTTATATAATTAGGTATTAGTAGTTTTATCTAACTGATAAAGCACTATATGGCATCAAGCTGCACCAGGGGAGGTTTAGATTAGCTATTATGAAATTTTTTTTACTGGAAGGGTTGTAAAGCACTTTAGCAGACTGCCCAGGGAAGTAGTGGAGTTGCCATCCCTGAAAGTTATCAAAAATTGTGGGTCACTTGTCACTTAAGGACATGGTTTAATGGTGAACACGGTGGTAGTGAATGATATTAAATGTTTTTTCCAACCTTTAGCAATTCTATAATTCTACATAAAGAACGTAAGTCCCCATGGTATTCCAGGTTCCTGTTCTTCACCTGCACATTTGCAACCCTTCTAAAGCTCAAGGTCTACTGAACAGAAGCACTGCTTGTCAGCTCAACATGGTCTATGAAACTGGCACCCATTCAACTCCACTGTAAAGATGGCCTAACATTTGGGCTACCTGGAGAGAGAGACAGGAGTTAAAGAGAAACTGTAAGAATTGTAGGTTTTTTTCATTCTGCATTGCCTAAGCAGCTCTCCTTCTCCTCCACAACAGACCGATGTCCTATTTGGGCTAACTTTTAAATCACTTCTCAATTGTCTGCCTCCACTCAGTCCAGTGACAGGTTTATCATTCTTTATAATGGACATATAAGTCTTATGAAAAGAATCTAAGACTCTCACCTGCAATTAGTATTTAACACCAAAAGCAGATATCATCTGCCACTCTCCTCTGGGTACAGAGACACAGCAATACAGACAGCATGCCCTAACTTACATGAACACAGAGAGCAAAGTCTGCTGCTTCTCTTCTGGTACCGCAACGTGGATGAAGAAAGAAACATCCAATCCTCTTAAGATAATTGTAAATTTTGCACTGCACTGGAGGTTTCCAGTTGCTGTATCCTCCTAAACAGTGAAGAAGAATAAAATTAATAATAAAAAACCCCAAACAAACCATGGGTTTGGGCAAACACAACTCTATGAATTAAGAATGCAAGAAGGCAAAAGCAAAGGTAGATCTGTCTTTAAAGGCAGAATTTATTTTGACCAATGTGAAAGCTAAAAAAACCCCTATATAACCAAACTCCTCCCAACCTCCTGTTCTTTAGTTAGAAAGTAAAACAGAAAAAAAGAGTAGTGTGGTGGTTTGGACTTGGCCCCCTGCCAAGTGCCCAACACCACAGTGAAAGCTTCCTCCCCCACCTTCTTATGAACACAGAGGAAAGAAAGGAAAAAAACAAAAACGAAATAACAAAGCCATAGCAGTGTATATATATATATATATATTACACTTACATACAGTTACAATACGATATATAAAAAACAAAATCCCAACACCCCAAAACAGAAGGGGAAAGACAAAAACAAAACCAAACCAGATATACCCAGCCAATAAAGAACTAGCAAATGAAATCTTAATACTTTCCTTAAGAAAGCAGAGATCTCTCAAGGTCGGGAACAAAGCAACAGCCTCTCAAAAGCCCACAGGCCTACCCCCACATGAAGGAGCCCCACCACAGGGAAAGGTTGCTGCTTTTTCCAACTCTGCTGGAAGGGATCTAACTTCTAACTTCCTCCCCCTTCTATTTATATTTCTGCTTATGTAAAGAATAAAATGGAATACTGGGATATGGGTACTTCCTTAGTTTCGACCTGGTTACCAGGAATAGACCTAAAACCAAACCATTATAAGTAGTTAGCCTGATACTACTCATTCAATTTTGTATGACTTTTTTGTTCTAATTCTGAAAATCTTATCTTCTAGATACAATGTACTTTTAGACTCAGGAATGTATTTTTTTTCCAGTTTGAACTACAGTTATGGTTAATGGGCAGAAGGAGAGGAACTCTGGGAACACAGTACAACTAACAGAAATGCTTCTCTTAGGGGAACCTGTACTGCAGGCATTACAGATATATGAGATAGATAGATAGATAGATAGATATGCTATACCTGACTAACATACCACAAACCAGAACTCTTTAAAAAGAAGGTCCAAGCACTGGAACAACAGCTGAAACAAATGTTAGAGTCCTAATAAACCCTTGGATGCAGCCAAGGATAAGCAAAATGAGGCTACAACTGGGAAAAAAAGTACAGAAATTTTCTCAACAGTATCCTAAAACATGTAGCTACTGGCTAAGAAAATATCTGGATAGTAAAAATGAGCTGAGTAATGTGTCAGCTACAGACAGAAAACAATACCAGGCTGAAACAAGTTGCAAGGGAAAGGAAAGAAGCAGGAAGTCTTTCAAGAAGAGAGGGAAAACCAGAGGAGCTTGCAGTTACTATGATACCATAAAAAGGCAAACAAATGAAAGGACAATTTGAAGAGAGCAACTGAAAATTTCATAATATTCCCAATTGCTAAGAAGTAATGGATCTGCAATGGGGAGGAAAAAGTGTTGCTTTATCTGCCAGCTGACAAGAGTGGTTGGATGTAAGAAAGGATTTTGAATGAAAAATGAAAGCAGTCATTGGTGGCACTTCACGTGAGGACATGGGAAACTAAGTTTCAAGTGCACAGGCTGCAGAGGATGGTGTATGCCAACACGGCCACCCCCAGTACAACAAACAAAACCATTCCTCAGTAGATTTCTCCTGGGGTTTTTTCACCCTTTTCAGCCTAATGGCAAGAAGAAGGTATCAAAAATTATCTCAAAGATAAAGATTTATTAAGAGTCTTAATATATAATAATAATAATGGCCAGTCTTCGCGAGCGAAGATCCGGGGAAGGTTTTTACACCTTCCAGCCTGCGCATTGGATTTTTTTTTTTTAGGTGAGACACAGTGTGCGCGGAACTGAGCCCACCCTTTAATCCTAAGGTTCATCTGCCGGGGCCAAGCGAGCTTGGACGGTGGCAGCAAGGTCCTTAGGACGTAGGTGGGTTGCCTTTTTTTTTTTAAGGGCTAACGAGCCCCACCTGCCCGGGAGTGGCCCTGACCGGGAATCGAACCCAGGTCTCCGCGGTGATAGCGCGGCGCCTTTACCACTAGACCACCAGGGGCTCTATTAAGAGTCTACATAGAAATGATATAGTGGTATCTGTCCATGAGAAAAAAATGCTATTTGCAACTTGTTCTATTCTATTGTGACAGCCTCAGTCACTACTATTTGGGAAAGACTTGTAATCACCAAACCTGGGGTTTGGCTGCATAAATGTACAATAAACAAGCATTTGACCAGGACAACTGAAAACAAGGAAAGAACTGTATTCAGTCTCTTTATTATTTATGCCCACAAATGGATGAAGACAACTGAGTATCTGAAGACAGAAACCATGCAGAGTCTGGACAATACAATGGAAAAACTCAAAGCAATGCTAAGGCTGTACTAGCAATAAGAAAAACAGAAATTATGCAGATTTATCATATAAAAAAATATTAAAAATTATTAAAAGATTCAGAAATGTTGTTCGGGAAATGCAGGAAAAAATAGAAGAGACAAGGATGTTGCTATATTTTCATAGACTAAACAAACAAGACTAGCATGCCTCAAGTAACTGTGCACACCATTATTATTATGAGAGGGTATCTACAACAGTAAATCCAGATGTGTCGAGGAGACTTAGTGCTCCCAGGCTCCAAAACAATACAGCTGTCACTAATAAACTGCTAAATTCTTCTCTAATATAAATATGGCCCATTTTAATCACACGTAACTCCTCAGCACGTTTTTCTTAGTTCAGGTGCATCAGGGGCCATTCCCACGAGGCAGTGTGCAAGCAGCAAACCCGTCAGGAAGTAAGAAATGGAGTGGTGCTGATGTGGGCTGTGCTGTGCCATCAGGCACCTGTGTCTGGAACATCTCTAGAGGGGCATAGAGTCTTAACTAGCACAAAGGTACCTTTGGGTAAGAGTATCATTATTACTAGAAGTTCCTGACAACAGACTAGTAACACTAAGGTTGTACTATGATATTTCTCCTTAAGTCAGAGAAGAGAAATTTCTGACAATACAGCTCAGACATCCCTGGGTTCAAACAATTTTTTCTTACTGAATCAAACCAGCATTTTAACCTTGGAAAATAGTAACAGCAAAGGGATGCTGTTGGCAGACTCTGCAAAACACGATCGTTTTCCCTTTCAACCCAAACATTTCTATGATTCTGTGAAACTCATGACAATATGAGTTCCATCAATCACCTTGTACTAAACTAAATTAAAAAAGTCTAAGAATGCAAAATCATGCCTTCTAAAAGTAAAAAATAAAAAAAGGCAGCAGCATTATGAGAAGGACTTGGGAGTTAAAATAATCTCTGAGTATTATGCCTGGTCCTGATAATTATGAAAACCTAATATGATACAGTTTAAGGAAGTTAACAGGGAAGCCAGAATTCTGGAACAATATTCTACACAGAATGGTAAGAGCAGTGGAGGTTAAGACTGAGTTTAAGAAGTTAAAGAACAGTTCTGTTACGTGGTGCCTGTGACACTGCAACTTAAGAAGCCTTAGTGGCTGCTTGCTCCTGCTCTTCATTCTCTCAGATTCAAGGAATCTCTGCTCAAGTAAATGAGTAGACTTGTTAATCTTATCTTCCAATTGCCTTCAAACATTTTTTACCTTGAAAGCCCCAGATAAATGTCCCTTGGTTCAGGTTAGCTGGCAGCTGTGTGAAAAAGCTTCCCCAGTTGTCCAGATCCACCAACACAATGTGGGTCATGGTACTCAGGTAGTCAAGATCAGGAAGATCACCATCTATCAATAGGATAAAAAAACCCCCACGTTTAAAATTCACATGACTTTCTGGTCAATCAACACACATTAACTTGAGATACACTTCTGTAAATTCATGTATTCAACTGTTATGTAAGCAAAGTTACAAAACATGGTCCTATTTGGCAACTGCATAGATTTTAAAATAAACTGAATTAGCATTTAATCACCCACAAACCAGACATAAAAGTAGAATCTGGCTATATGATGGTGTGGAGCTGGACAGTTTTGTGGTAAGCACAGAAAGCTTGCTGTCCTGCACCAAGACATTTTAACAAGTATCTGTGACATTCCATTGCTTGCATGCACATAAAATGTAAAATGTTTAGGTATGTACTTTTTGCTGTACATCTAACATAAAAAGTATTATGACACCACTAGTGATTAAGATGAAACACTTCCAACTTCTGAACACAAGGTACACCTACAGCATACTCGATGTCATTCTTAGAAGTGATCATGAACTTAAAAAAAAATTTGCATGTTCAAGGAAAAAAAAACCCACACTATTGACTGAGAATATAAATTCTCAGATGATAGTGCTTTTTGGCAAGCTAAGAAAACTGAGGAGATGGTGATATAATAGGACTGCCCACACAGAAAGCACTACCAGGATCATAAATATTTACACAAGTTTCTCTTGAATGTGTAATATAGATCACTTTTAGATTTCTACGCATTGGATCTCTGAGGTCCTTGATTGTCCTCTTCCTTTTAACACCAAATTATGCTCCAAAATAACTTGAAAACCAAATGTTTCAGTCTGAGGACTTTTAAAACAGAGTGTGTTAAAGACAATAATATTTTTCTAATATTGAAAGTAGTTTTCTACATACTTTCACCAAGTTCTTCAGAGTGTGCCAAGTCCTCATTATTTTCTTTCTTTTGCTCTATTGGTCTCTGCAGAGGAGACAACTGTGCTCTGTCCTGAGTTTTGGATGGAGATGCTTGAAATTGTAGCCTGTGAGGTTTTCTGACCTGACAAGCCCCACTTGCTGTGAACTTGAATACTGGGTTTTCTGACTCTGATGCAAGACTTGATATATCAGGTTTCTGCAAGAAGCAGTGTTTCATGTGATAGTGTTGATGTGCACTGGAAAGATCATTAAAGTTTTTGTTGCATGCAGCACATCTAATGACATACATCTCTCCCTTAGGTTTCAGTGATGTGTGACTCTTGAGATGACTCTTCAAATCAGCACTATTCTGTGCCGTTGCAGAACACAGGCAGCATCGAAACCATAAGTTTCCTTTTTCCAGCATGGCTTTCTGACAATTCTCATAATCATTTTTCCTGTTTATTTTGGAAACGTAAGTTGTCCGGCAACCACAGGTTAAAAGGTCTCCTTGTTCGACTGGGAGGAAGTCCTCCTCTTTTTTTATTGATACTTCCATCTGCTCAGGCACAAATGTATAGTCCATGCTATGAATCTCCTTATAATGGATTAGAAATTCTTCTTCTGTGTCAAAGAAGAGGTGACCACAAAGGCCACAGAAATATTTAGTCTGTGTCTCCTGATTGTGATGCTCTTGGAAGTGCCGCTCCAGTGTTCCTACTTTCCGAAAGTGATTTCTGCATAAGCCACAGGAGTACCTGTGAAATGCATGGCTTTCTAAGGACATGCAATGTTGTTTAACACTCTCTTCAGACTCAAACATCTCCTCACAAATGCGGCACTGCCATTTTCCTGCAATAGGACTCCTTTCAGGGGAGAGTTCCATAGGGCTAGGAATGCATTCTTTATCTTCACCTGCAGAAATGCATGCTGTGTCAGAAGCAGATGGCATAGGTTCATCTTCTACATCTTGCTCATAATAGTAACTATGTCCACCATGAAATTCAGTTATGTGTCCCATAATGTCCTCTTCTCTAAGATCTACAGAGCATGCTCTGCACCAGAGAAGAAAATTAGTCAAGTGTGCTCCTCCATGAAATCGACTCATATGGAGACGGATAATGCTTGAATTTTCAGCAAGCTTTCCACACACAGCACACTTGTGACAGATCCTATTTGCTGATAAAATGTGATTTTCTACCAGCTCTTCCGTAAAAAACTTTCGAAGGCATTCACAAAACCAGGCTTTTACTTTGCAAGCACTACCTTGACTTTGGTTTGCTTCATTATCTTCATTGTTATCTTTAAAATCACTCTTCCTTTTTGAAGGACTAGACCCCATTTTACTGGCAGACTCATTTGAAGTCAAATGTCTTTTAAGCAATGGTCTTGACCGATCCACAATATGGCACAAGTAAGACTGATTTTTCTGTTTTCCATTGATATGACAGAACATCAAGATGGACTCTTCCACTGTAGTAAAAACTCTAATGTTATGTTGAGTGGTTTGTTTATGTTGGGTTATCTGATTCTTATCAGCAAACAGTTCATCACAGTTCTCACAGTAACCTTTTGTTTTAAATATCTCTGCAACTTGGGAGATGCTTTTCTTCGACAATGCCACAGGCCCAGAATTATGACAACGCATTCTAGAATGGATTAAAAAACGTAAAGAAGTTATATCATAACCTGAAACATTTTTAAACTTCTGGACGTACTTTGAAATATTACCTAGTAGCTACAGAACCAGTGCATGGAAATAGTGTCCTCTGTATACTAGCTTGCCAACAAAACCATGCAATGAGTGTCTAGTCTCTGCACTTTAAAGAGAATTAGGTGCTAATCTCCAAAGCCAGCACTAAGATTGATGCTTATGTTGTTGATTCTATACATTTTCAAAATCAAATACTGTCAACTTAGAAACAGCAGAACAGACACCAAGTTATGTTGTTCCATTACAGAAAATAAAGGATCCTGACAATGATCAGCATTCTGCAGTGTGGGGTAAAAGACATGAAGGGAGGCAGGCTTTTGATAGCTTACTCAGGAAGTCAACATTCTGATGGCTCTACTTGCCTGGAAATCCACTAGGACCACTAAAAACACATCTGCCTATCTGCCACTGATCTATGGGTGTTCACATTATAAAGGCAGCTGTCTTTCACAAACCTGAAATGAGCTGTTAATTCCATATGCGAGCGTAGTATCTTGTAGCAGGACATACACTTCACTTGGAAGGGAACCTCTTTGCACAGAGATATCAGAAGGTTCTTCGCATAGGTTGGAAAAGGTAGAGGACGGCCAGGCTTCATTTCATCTATAAAATGGAATGGTAGAAAGTGCAAATTCTTTCATAGTATTTCAGCTCTCTGATGACATAGTTACCACTGTTATTTGTTTGTCACATGGTTCAGAAAGCAAGTTATCATGTGTCAGGTGGCCCACAGTAACTGTACTATGGAAGCTTTAACTAAAAAGACTGAATTTTTTAAACTTCTGTTACAATCTCATTTCTGAATCTGTTTGGATCTTGCTTTTTCATACTCAGTGACTGACTCTACTTCCCTTTTCCTCTTTCTACAACACCAGGTCAGATATGCCTCTTAGGAAGGTTCTTATTGATCCTCTTCTGCTCCATCTATGACCAGATGACTACTCTTACCACATATATATTTTTTTTAAGCCATAGAGTACTTAAAAAAAAAAAAAAAAGCACACAATTCATTTGACAAGTTCCACATACTCTGACCATCTCTTTCTCTCTTTCCCATCCTTGTTAATTCTTACATTCTTAGATGCAGGACTTTCTGTTGTTCAGAGTACATTCTCCACATCTACATTCAGGTACCATCAGAATAAAAAAATTCTATTGAAAAGAGAATGGGGAATTGCTTATGGATTAAATGTTGTTCATGTTCTGCATCTTAGGAGGCAAATTCTCTTTGATTTTTCAGTTTAGTAAGATGTGATGATCAGCAGGCAGTAATTTGACGTTATGCCTTTCAGTGAACTTCACTGGCAGATCTTAGACCCTGCTGGTAATTATTAATCATGAAGACCTACCAACGCAAAGGAAAAACTGGAGCACTCCATTTTTTGTTCTGAGCTAAGAACTATCCGCCTCTAAAGAAAAAAAACCACTAACTTGTGCTTTTAATTTTTTCAAAGCAATAGCTCACCAGGAATCTTTTTAAAATCTATGACTTGAATTTAAAAGCATCTGCAGTCATCACATTCAGAATTAATAACCTATTTGAGAATAAAAGTACATTAGACCTTCAATACATAAGAGAACATATAACCATGCAGATGACTGCCACTTCCACAAAGATGGCAGTACTGACTCAACCTGCAGGACAATGCCTTCAAAGCCTATCTTTTCTGCACACTTCCTGCAGCCACTCTGGGGGAGGGCAGAAGTCAAAGACATAGTTATGAACATGAGAAATAACTATACCGATCCTTTTGGCCACACAGGTTTATCCTGAAACCTAAAATATCTAAAATATGGCCACTACAATATCTAAAATACGGCCACTTCCTGCATAAGAAGTCAACTTCATCTTTGTCAGTTGTCTTGGCCATTTAGCTAACATTAAAGTAAATGCTTCAATGCCTCTTGCTTGTGTCAGGAATAAAAAGTCAGTACAGCTATGACAAGCATCATTCCTGTTTTCAAGCCCTCGATCACACAGATATTTCCTGTGAACTCTTTTAAGTGTGGTTCAGGATGTTACCAGCTCACAACATAACCAGTATTTCAGCCTTCAGCAGCAATGAAGTCAGTGCAAGCCATCAGACAAGCAGCACTGTCCCAGCTAACCAGGCTAAACTCGCAAATATACACAGAAGAAATTTTCACAGGTCTTTGTCACCGGCAACGCCAAGGACACTGACAACAGCCTCCAAGCAGACTACAGACAGTACAGTAAGGAGAAGGAACTCCACAGCCAGTCTCACTGGTACGGAAAAAGAAATCCTTTTGTTTTGGTCCAAGTCTCTATCAACAGGCTAAAGGTAAACTTATTTAGGACAGCAGTTGCATAGAGTCACTGAAGGATGAGATGCTTATGTGAGAGACCTGGTGGCTTCTCATTACAGTAAGTGTGATAAAGGAACCATTTCTACACAAAAACATGAATTTTAAAGCATCACATTTAAGACCTTAAAAGAAAAATAACAATTCATTAAAAACAAACTTTAAACCTTAAGCTTTTTTAAACAGCAGAAAAATGTAAGTCAATTCATATCATAAGGATGAATTATCAGAAGAAATTAAAAGCAGTACACTTAGTAGCAACATACCACTCAAGTGAGAATTCTGGAGGATGTGTTTCTTTCCTGACATATGCTGCAAACACTCTTCACTTTTCGTGAAAAGGAGGAAGCAGTTTGGGCATGCAAAACACTGAATATGCTGTGGAGGGAGACCTTTTTTATGGCCATCATCTTCATTTAGCTGGAAGAGAAAATTATCTATTTAGGAAAAAATTAAGCAAAGAAACCAGTCCCAGTTCTCCTCATGTCCTTCCATTCCACTTGCCCTTCTGTGGTAGTATTTTCACTTTTAGGTTTTCAGCTACCACATCTATGTTTATTTACAGCCTACCTCTATGCACTTCAGCTCATAAGACACAAGGGATTGGCCAAACTTCCATTGTTAAACCCAGCAACTCATCTATCCTTACTACTCCAGCAACTTCTCCATCCCCTTTTTGTACCACCTTGCAAGCAGATGCAAGCACCTTCCCCAGAGAGTATGGGCTCCAATTCTTAGCTAGTCCCTTTATCCTGGTTCACAGAAAAAGCTCCTTCTATCACCAAAGCAGCTGCTTTTCCTGATGTCAGTTCTTCCCTAATCTTGCTGGCCTCAAAATGCTGCTCCTCAGAGTAGCCTGACAGGTCCATGACTTTTAGAAAAGTCAGCTCCTTCCATCTTCCTTGCCTTCTACATCAACTTTGGATCTCTGCCTCCAGGGCAAAAATCCTTTGTTTTACTTCTGATATTTTTTGCTTGCTCCTTTATAAGTCACTCAATGAATCTTCATTACATGCTTATGCTTTCTTCCATAGCTTTGAGTAGTATTATCTCCCCATCCTTCCACACCAAAGTAATCCATTCTTGCCTGCTGCAAGAGTCACTCCTTTCCCCAAACCTGGCTGCAAACTCCTGCTAATGCCCTTGGACATGTCACAGGCACACAACTTGGAAGCAACGGAAAAAGAGCAGGGATAAATTACGCTGCAATCTTTCAAGCTTGTCAGGTATGAGCATGCATCAGGAGTTACTACTACAAGCTAAAATTATTCTGATTTTCAGAATGTCTACAACTTCCCTAACTTAACACAGCTTTTGGAGACCGAGTACTCAACAATATTTGTTATTAAAACACCCAACTTTGAAAATGCTATCCATTATGCAGTCCAATACCAGACTGCCTAAATAAAACCACACACCCAGAAGGTAACAGCTAAGCATCTGTTATGCAACTCAGGTTTTACAGTAGCACGTTATGAACAGGAGACAGAGAGTAACCAACAACAAAAAAGCAACACTACTAGCTTATATTCACAACTCAATGTTGTGAACAACAAAAAAGCAACACTACTAGCTCATATTCACAACTCAATGCTTATATTGGAGAGGTTAGAAACAGACAAAACAGTGCTATCTGAATCTCCCAAGTTTCTTTTCTCATTCTGTTGCTTCTTTCCCCCATCCTCTAGCTCCTTTCTGCTGCTTGCTGCCTTCATCTCTCATAGTTTTGAAGATGTGAAAAAAGGGAAGACCTTTCAACACCACCAACAGAGGGACAAGAGGCTCAAGACTATGATCCTCTCGAAAGTATGCCAAAAAGTACAATCTAATGATCAGATCTAAAGAGAATACAGTCAGGCTACACCAGGTGTTTGAAACACAACAGAATAAGAAAAAAAAAACTAAACTGTCTTAAGACTAAAAGAATAGAGGGGAGAGAAAGAGGGTTAAAAAAGAAAACAAAACCAAAAAATCAATGCATAATTATGTGTCTTGAAAACTCTCTACTACATTCAGTCAGGCGAGTTACTTATCCTTATGATCTTGCCTTAGATAAAAGATGATCACTATACTGCTGAGAGGTTGAAAATCTTTCACAGCATATCACACAGGCAACAGCATTATTTGGGGGTCCATGTAATGTGACAGTTGGGTCACAAGGAGAATGATCAAACCTGGAGAGGAAGAAATAATTAACAAACTAGTCCCCTCTAAATAGTTAAAAGGGTTTTTTTTAATGAGAAAAGATCTGTCTTTTGAAGTTGTTGGACAAAAACCCCTATCCAATCAACCTAAACTGTAAAAATTCCTCTCTCCCCCTATTATTAACTGTATCAGTTGAAACACCTTGTATAGAGGTGAATCTCCCTGCAGCTTACCTTTTATAAGGGCCACTCTGCAGAGGAACCATACTGCTTTTAAAAGAAGTAATAAAGCCTCAATTTCCCACAGAGGGATTTAAATTTTTTTTTTTATACCTCCCTGCATTACTTCTGGCTGGGATGGAGTTAATTTTATTTGAAGTAGCTTGTACGGTTGTCGCGTTTTGGATTTAAAAACAACAGTGTTGATAGCACAGAGATGTTTTAGTTATTGCTGAGCAGTGACTGCTCAGTCTGTTTTTCAGACTGCCCCACCAGCATGGAGGCTGCAGGTAGGCAAGAAGTTGGGAGGAGACACAGCTGGGACAGCTGACCACGCCTGGCCAAAGTGGCAGCCTATAACATAAGACACTGTGCTCAGCAACAAAAGCTGGGTGAAGGAGGAGGAAGTTGAGATGGCAGGGAAGATAAACACATCACTCGAGCTATTACATGTGAAAAAGCTCTGCCTGTTAGTCTCCTTATATTGCTTTGCTTGTGCATGCAGCTTTTGCTTTACTTATCAAACTGTTTTTATCTCAGCCCAGAGTTTTCTCACTTTTAACCTTCTCATTCTCTTCCCCATCCCAGCAAGATGAGTGAGTGAGCAGCTGTGTGAGGCTGAGTAGCCTACTGGGGTTAATCCGTGACACTTCCCTCAGTTTCTCACCTTACCATCTTCCCCACAAACACATTCATTAGTTAAAAGGCAGTATCTGCTGGAATTGACCACAGACACATTAAGTCCTTATGACTAGCAGTCATAAGCTATGAACAGATGTCTGACCTGGAGAACTGGACTCAGAGAACTCTCAGAACTGGAGAACAGAAATCTTGTTTCTCAAAAAAACCATGTATTATAAAATGCTCAACAAGAAATCAATTCGGAACGGAAAAAACCAAACAACCCCCTTACCCACCCAAAACTAGAAAAAAAACCCTGTGAAGTTCATCACATCATCTATGTAAATTGTGTAACATATTAATTGGCTCTCAAAATGGAACTATGTCAGTATAGGCAGTTTAAAGTAGACTTGATGCTGATGTTCTAAGTTAGAGCATATTCTTTCACTGTGATATCTTGCACTGAGCTCTTGCACTATGTCCTTACCTTTGAAGGTGACCTAAAAGAAGATGTACATTATCAAACTCTCTGTTGCAATGCATCACAGGACAGCATTTGGGACTGCTGTTGACTTGTGTCTGAGCTGCCCTCTTACAAGCACCCCTTTTTCCACCATTAAGAGAGCCTGGTTTCAGACCTGTGTTATAAAACAACATACTTAACCAGAACACAAATTATAGAGGCTTAAGAAAACAAATAACACACAAGCCCTAAAGCATTTAAAAATCAAGTTATAGTGATTCTTAAAAGCAAACTAACAATGTACAATCCTACTCAGGAAGTCTGCTCTTTCACTTTCTTCAATCCTCAGCAGTGTAACTTTTTAAGCACTTTCACACCCTTCATCCAGGCACTATTTGAAATTCATTAAACATCCTGGAGTTACACTTACTTATGTATGTAGACATCTTCCTAAGCAGCAGTTCAATATTTTTAATTTCTAGTAGCTTCTCTTATAAAAATTGTTAATGTGGCCTTAGTGACTTTTAGATTTTGTATCTTAAATTTCCTAAGCAGGAAAGCATTAGAAGAATGGATTTTATGGAAATGAGTGTTTAAGAACTTTCAAATGCCACATGCTAGCAAAGTTAATATTGTAGGATTTGGTTATGCACACGGCACCTGCAAGCTCAATGAATTATTACATGTTCTATTCTCCAATTCAGGATTTAGAAACATTCACTGAAACTTAGTTTTGTACACTTACCTGGCATTTTTAACCACTGGTCCACACATAACCTTGCAGCTTCTGTATCACTATGTTCCCGAATAAATTCTAATTCTTGCAACCCGTGAGCATACTGGGAATCAACTTTCTCCTGAGAGGGAAAACATACCAGGCAAGGTGGTGATCAACTTTTTTTTCAAAAATTAAATATTAAGTATGTATCCCAAAACTTACATATGGGTTTCTAAAAACACGAGATAAAAAACAACAAAACCATACACAAAAAACCTAAAGGAGGGGAAAAATAAAATCTTACAACTTGATTCATTTCTATTTAACACAATAAAGATAGAACACAAAAGCAATTAAAAAAATTAAAAACCAGTAATTTTTTTTTCCCCAAAGTTCAAGAGCTGCATCTTGGGTCTATTAATTTACTTTTACTGCAACTACCGAATTTCTGAAGCATGCATATAAATAAGATTATAATCTTATAAAGAGAAACAAATCATCATGAAGTTTTAAAAAAGCAACACAAAATCATTATTGAAACCAAAGAGTCAATTTGTTCTACTGACAAGGAAAAAAAAATAGCATCTTCACTTTGAAGACTAAATTTAATTCTGCAACTTGCATTAACTGATGAGGCATTTTCCTCCACCCAGGAGGAAAATATTCATCTTTAACAAAGGATTTTTTAACTTTCATTCTCAAAGTACATTGAAAGCTACACAGTTACCTCTGACATTACTTGACATATGGAAAATGGTATGTGGAGACATTAACAGATTGCCAAATTCTCTCTCAGTAGAGGAGACGGGAGAGGGATGTAGGCCTCCAGACTTCAAGGCTACCTTGGACTATATCTAACAGCCTTTTACTCTGTTGTATTACAGTTCAGTAGTCTAGTGTAGACTATAAAAAGCTGTAACTGTAGTACAGTCATGTGATTTTAAAAGTGTTGAGAAAATTAGGCTGGAAAGTCAGCATGTGCCACAAATCCTGAATTTGACTCTGTCCCTGTTCAATTTCACAAAGTTCTTGTAATCCCCGTTCCTTCAAGCTGTCCAGGTTCCCACTGAGAGCAGCCCTTCCATTAAGCCTACTGACTGCATCTCCCAGTTTGTAATAGAAGTAAGAAGTACAAGCCTTTCAAATCTCTGCCCAATGCAATTAATAGGATTCAACTTCAAAATTATGCCTTAAACACAAAAAATTTTATCACATTATAAAATATTACTCAATACAGAGACTTAATGTGGCAAACAGTTTCCCAAAAATCTCAGACAAAAGCAAGTAAATAAGTAGTCTTGCTGCATGGCTGTTTGTGATAACTCTTTATTTTTCAATTAGTCAGTAAGAGTAATTGATGTTACGGTTCCTCTGCTATATATACAAACAAGAGAACGAGTTTTTGCCACTGATTTTTATGAATTTAGTTTTTTCCTATCCTCAGGAACTGCAATAAAAGTAGCAAATTTATCAGTTAAAAGCCACTGAAGAGACAAAGTCTGTATTGTGTTTTGAATGATGCTGCAGAAGCCTAGTTGCTAGTTCCAGGTCTGGCTCACCAATCATTTTATTTATTTAGTAGTGAAAAAATGACACTTGTGACTACAAGGCCTTTTATGATGCAATTTTACCAAAACAAAATACTTCCAATACCTTAAAGGCTTTGTTTTTCTCTTCTTTTTGCTGCTTCTCTACTTCAACATGTCGTGCCAGTCGATCCAGGGTTGATGCAACTCGTTCTTTCTGATAGTCAATGTGATCCTTACGCTTAGGTCTCTACAATTGGAAAGGTAAACACTTACTTGGTGGTTAAGTAAAGGCACTAATACAGTGAAAAGTGATGCCCAAGCATCAGGACATAATTCAGTACAGATACTCTTATCCCAAGTTCCAACTCTTATCCTAAGTTCCATGATCTACCTTGCTGATTTTCTCTTCCTATTTATCAACATATGTAACTTCTATTAAAGCAGCAGCTAAAACAACCCTCCTCTCCACTTATTCAAGGCAATTCATCATAAACACTAGTCTCACCAAAGAAGCAGAGGAACATGGATGATTGTGCTGGGTGTCTTAGAAAAATTAAGAAAATTATTTTAAGTAAGTAAACAAAATCCCTACTGATTTGAAAGCCAACATGTAGACCATCTGAAAAACTGAGAACTGAAACAATTACTGCTCTGACACTGCCTACTATCTTCAGAAAGGTAGATCCTTAGCTTTTTCTAGCATAATGGATAGGCCATACACTGTAATTTGCTCCTACCACACAACTAGCTCTAGCAATCATCAGTGTAGAGTCAGCCTGTGAATATACAGAAGATGCACCTTTCCTTAAGAATCAGTATTATTACAAACATCCTCTACTGTAACACTATAAAGCAGAAGTCAAGAGATGGCTGCTGCTGCCACCAAAACCAACTCTCGTAGGGTTAATCACCGCCTCTCTCAAAGGCCCTACAGAGCAGACACAATAAGCTCAGGGGACAAACAGAACCTGCTTCTGACTCATACAGTCTTAGCAGGGATTAGGAAGGATTAGGCAGAGATAAAACCAGGCTGTCACTGGAATAAGGTCCTACAACCTATACATTTTTCCTAAAAAGTTATTTTAGAAAGAAAAGGCCTGGGAGTAGACCAGATACATTTGTAGGCTAGAAACTGGACACAGAGACTTCTGAGGCTGCTTGTAAAGCGATCTTTTTCTTCAACACACTCTCTAACATGACTGAAAGACAAATAAAAGTCCCAAGCACATTTCAAGGAGGCAAAAAACAGCTCTGGAAAAAAATGGAAGTGCTGGCATTCTTGCCTTCCACTCAACAGAAGGAAAAAAACTAAAATACTTCAACTTTATTTATTTATTTATTAATTGTTAAAAATATCTCTAATAAGGCTTTTATGAAAAGTAACCAATAGGAAAAAATACAGAAGAGCAATTATTTTATTCAACTGAGATCTCCTAAAATACATTACAACATACTCACATGAACGTAAGAACTGCTGTTAGGTTCTTCATCCTCACTGCTGACAAGATCAATACATTCAAGTACAGGTCTTAAAGGTCCTTCCTGGAATAAAGTGTTACACATGCAAAAGCACTGAATTGTTGTCCTTGGAGATAAAATGTTGCATGCATTATAGCACATTGTCAGTATTAGCATTTCACCAAGGTTTCAAGAAGCTGAAGTAAAGGAAATTCTGGCATGGCAACTTTTCCACTAAACAGACTATTCCACAAAATTGGTAAAATATGCAAACAAGTCTTCAAAATCTAATACATAGATATCATGTAGAAAAAAAATAAATCAACAATCTTGGCTTGCCTAATAACATTATATTCTTCACCTTCTCAATCAACTCAGACCTACATTTTTAAAGATACGCAACCTGCAATAAGGTAGCAGCCTGTTACCAAGACAGGAATGGCCTTAGATTTCACTATGCAATGGTAAATGGTTTTTTCCTTGTTTTTTTCTTTAGGGTTTGTTTTGGCTTTGTTTCTAAAAACACAAATTCAATTCCAAAAGTGTGATGGCCTAATCTTGGCTGGACACCAGGTGCCCACCAAGCCACTCTATCATTCGCCTCCTCAGCAGAGCAAGGTCAGGGACAAAACACGATGAAAAAAAATCCTCCTGGGTCAAGGTAAAGGTGGTTTAATAAAGCAAAAGCAAAGGCCACATGTGGAAGCAAAGGAAAACAAAAGATTCATTCTCTGCTTCCCATCATCACGCAATGACCAGCCACTTCCCAAGATGTAGGGCTTCAGTACACGCTGCTCCATAAGACAAATGATGTAATGGCGAATCAGACAATGGTCTGGATTGTAAGGAACCTTAAAGCTCAACTAGTTCCAACTCCTCTGTCATGGGCAGGGGTGCCCACTTTATCAGGGTGCTCATGCCACCATCCTTTCCCTTAGCTTTTGTTACTGAGTAGACACTACATGGTATGGAATATCCCTTTGGTCAGTTTGGGTCAGCTGTCCTGGCTATGCCCCTCCCAAAGTCTTGCCCATCCCATCCTTACTGATGAGGGGGGAATGCTGGGGAGTGCCTTGATTCTTTCTAGTCACCAATGCACAGCACAGCACTGTGAGGGCTGCTATGGGGAAAATGAACTTCATCTCAGCCAGACTTAATACACAAAAAATTAAACTCCTTGGGCATTTCAAACATTAAGAAAGTGGGAAACAGTTCATACACATTTAAGCCCTGAAGCAGATATTCCACAGGCAGGTCACAAGTGTCTTCTCTGTACTGGAATCACAATGAGGGGGAGGTCATTTTATTTTAAAAGAAAACACATTTTACCCATTCACACCACATACTGGGAAGCACAAAGACACATGTCCAAACAGTCTGTCCAGCATCTAGTTTCAAAGATATCCAGGAAGCCTGGTCAGGACTCCATGCAGGAATATGGAGGGCAAACCACCCTGGCTATCAGGTCTTCTCTATTCTTCCTAGCTTGACAGCCATATGCTCCTTTTGCACACACATTTCCCATCTTTTGTCCCTCTTTTCCATTTCCACTGTGAGTCACTAAAGGTTACTGATCAGTTTTTGTCTCCTCCTTAGGATGTCTCCAATTCACTCTCCAATCATACCAATTTTACCATTTCTATTAACAAGCTTCCAGTAGAGAGTAGAAAGTTGGCACAAACATAAAAAAGCAAACACAGAAGAAAAATTAGAGTCAGTAACCCAAACTAAGCACACAGGTTGTAAGTTTTTTAAAGAAGATGTACTAAAAAAAATGTGGAGCTCCATCCATACTCACTGCTGTAAGTCTTCAGTTTTTAAAGACAAGAAAAGAAGCACTATATCCATATAACATGATGCCATGCCAAAAAACCCCAAACCCTTATCATGCTACAGCATCATCACATGCCAACTAAATAATTAATATAATGAACATGAAACAGAATGAGTAAGTCCACATACACCAAACAAAAATATTCCTAGTGACCCTAACTCACATCCACGGTCACCCATATTGTCTGGCAATATATCTGGCAGATACCACAGAGCTGTTCCAGAGTATACTCCATATTTGTGCTTTATTTCTTAGAAAGTTAAGTTTTCCAGGCAGAAGGACTTCCTGAAGAGGTACAGGAGGTACAGTACCATCTCTGCCATATATTTGGCAGTTTCTTCACGATATTAACAATGAACCGTGTAGAGCAGGGTAGGAAGACTTACTGCCTCACGAGAAGCAGTGGAGGGAAAAGCAGTGTGCAGTCATCTCTACTGCTCTTACTGCGTCTCATTCTTTACATTGTTCCACCTTTCAAGGCAGTAAAGATGTTCAGCTGGCCAGGCATAAACAGTCACCAGCAAGGAGGAGGAATGATATTTTGGACATATAACAAAAGCTTACATGAATCAAGCTGCAGGCCTCAAATCACCCCAAAAGAGTGCTTAATTTTTTATGATTAAATAAAGATAACGTGGCTTTCTAAATGAAATACAAAAGAAATCCTTTACAAATTTATTTCTGTAGAAACTGACAGTCTCTGTACAACTCTTAAGAAATTAAATCTTTATTATAAACAGGTGTTAGCAAGTAAGAGTTCAAAGACACACTCAGACCACCTGACTATCCAATCAGTTCAATAATATGTTTTAAAATGTTCAGCTCTGATCCTAACAGCTGTACCTTCTTCAAAGGCCGAGATTTTATCTATTTGTGTTTATTTACTCCCTGGGTTCAGCAACTAAATAAAACTTACAAAACTGACAGATGAAATGCAGAATAAGTTGCTTTCAAGTCTAGGAAGTTCTAGTGACCAGAATAGTAAATTTAAGGCAAGTAATATTATACTTGTTTAAATGTTGTTTGCACGCATGAAATGTTCTTTTTCCTCATCAAATTCTGTGCCTTTTTCTATCCAATTTTTGTGTACTGCTCACCTCCACAGAGGATGAGTTTCAAATTCAAAGTTATGAGAATTTTGTTTTTTTCCAACTGGTTCAACTAAATAATAACACAAAGATGGTGCCAACTCTGAGGATTCCATCACTGTAGGAGAGTTAAAAAACTGTGGATCAGATAGCTTTGTCCAACACTTTGTAACTCCCCACAAGATGAGCACCGCCACTGTGGTCTCTTTCTTCCCCTCCCTCATTTCACTCAATCTTTAGGTAATCAGGCCTACCTAACAGACACCTTGTCCACTGATAAATCATGCAAGGTGTTTTAATTGTTCAGTTTTTAGCTTTAATTGCATTCAGACCAAATACCCAGTTTACTTGAACAGCACAATTAAACTTTTGCATAATTATACACACACTAGCATGCAGAAAACATGAAACTAGCTTTCATGTATGTGACCACAAACTTATCTTTGACAAATATTTATAAGAGCACAAAGTGTATATACACTATGTAAACACACTTATAGAACAACTTTACAATAAAATAAATTTTAAAAATTGACACAAGTCGTACTATTTGTGCTAGAGCACAAATAGTATGACTTGTGTCAAATTTCTGCCCCAATTGAGACTTCCAACTTTCAGATTGAGTAACTGACCAACATTGTGAAACAACATGCACTTCGAAAGTTTTGATTTCTATAGCCCAGCAAATACAAAAACTCAAGTCCTTGGTTGACTTGAGTGCAAGTTCTACTTCAGAGATGGAAATTATCTAAGAATAGTTTTAAGTTTCCTGAATGAGGATGAAACTGACTGTAAAAGCTAAAAAACTCTGGCAGCAGCAGAGATTGCCTTTGCTCCATCAAATGAGGACTTTTCGTCATAGCTCTACACTATGAATTCAAACACCCTAATACAGTGTGCCCAGTTTGAATGAAATGGAAAAAAAACCAAGCAAACAAGGAAAACTGAAAGAAACAAAAAACCCCACCAAACTGTCAAGAAGAAAAAAAAAAAAAGAGGAAGAAAACCACAGAGATCACATGGCCTACAACTGCTTATTGTCTATCAAAATGAGCACAGGCTGAAATACCCCAGTGGCTTCTCAAATTCCATTTATACAGTACCATCTTGTGCACTGGGTCTTTAGGAGGTGCATGCAATCAGGTAGCATGCATATGCAACATTTATGGAGCCTATATACTTCCAGCCATACACATTACTATATGGAAACGATGATCCAAAGTTAGCCAAGTAGTCTGGAAATCCTGTTGCAAAGTCTAAAGTCAACCTCACTCGAAGCAAATGAGAGATTTGAGGACGCATTGTTGACATTAGGTGATGGCCAGGGTCACATGCCTTTCCCCGTGTATTCATCAATGACAACAGTAAGCTCCTCACCCCAGGATATAAATCCTGCAAAAGACTAAGCACAGTCATCTTCCTATATCGAGCAGCCTCCCTTGGAAGCAACTGTCACTAGGACCACAAACGATCTGTATTATCCACAGGGAAAGCCAACAAAATAAAAAGAAAGTAGAAGTGTTGATTTTAGTTCTTTTCTTCCAGTTCTCTTTCAGTTACTGCTCCTGGTGCTCCAGCAGCCCTTCAATCATTATGCATTCCAAGCTATATTAGCTTCCTCATTCTTTGCCCAGTTTGAAGAAAATGAAGCTTTTACAATCATGATAATAGAATTATGGAATGGTTTGGGTTGGAAGGGACCTTGAAGATCATCATGTTCCAATCCACCTGCCCTGGACAGGGACACCTTTCACTAGACTAGGCTTTCCCAGAGCCCCATCCAACCTGGCCTTGAACACTTCCAGGGATGAGGTATCCACAACTTCTCTGGACAATCTGTTCCAAAGCCTCACTGCCTGCACCGTAAAGAACTTCTTCTTAATCTCTAATCTAAACCTACTATCAGTTTGAAGCTATTTCCCCTTATCCTATCACTACACGCACTACATATAAATAGTCCTTTTCCATCCTTCTTTCAGGCTTCCTTCAGGTACTGGAAGGCCACAACTAGGTCACCCTGAGGCCTTCTCTTCTCCAGGCTGAACAATCCCAATTTTTCTAGTCTTTCCTCACAGGAGAGATGCTCCATCCCTCTAATCAACTTGGTGGCCCCCCTCTGGACTTGCTCCAACAGGTCAGTGTCCTTTCTATGCTGGGGACCCCAGAGCTGGATGCAGCACTCCAGGTGGAGTCTCTTGTGAGTGGACTAGAGGGGACAGAATCCCCTCCTTCGACCTGCTGGCCATGCTGCTTTTGATGCAGCCTAGTATACAGCTGACTTTCTGGGCTGCAAGCCCACACTGCCAGCTCGTTCACCAACACCCCCAAATCCTCTGCTGCAGACACACATGAATGCTTGCGTGTATATAATGAACTTTGAACTCATTAGTTAATTTTGACCAAATCAACTAAAAAATTAAGAAGTCTCTGAGATACTCAACTATTTAAAATCTTTGCAAAAATCCTTCACACTCGAGCATCTAAATACCCCTGCAGAAAAAGTCTGGACATTGAGCTTAGGCTTTAATCAACCACCATATAAAATAGTGTGGGGGAAAAAAAATCTAGTTATTGTTCAGCATATTGTCAAAAATGAGACAAATCCACAGGAGACCAGCCATTAATAATCTTGGCATCAATTAATCACTTGATCTTATTCATATGACTTGGTCCTTCAAGAAAAACATCTTTAGATGTGTAGACGTGGCACTTAGGTATATGGTTTAGTGATAGACTTAGCAGTGCTGGGTTAACAGTTGAGTTAATTAGGGACATGGCTTAGTGATGTACTTGGCAGTGCTGGGTTAACAGTTGGAGTCAATGATCTTTCCCAACCTGAACAACTCCATGTTTCTATGTAACCCTGCCATTTAGCACCACTTCACTGATGACAGATTGAGTCCAGACCACAAGCAGCATGAAAAACATTCTGCTTTTATTGGACATCCAATAGATAAAAGGGTCTTAAAGTTACATTCACATAAGATATGTCAGTATCAGATTAAGTGTTGTACTGTAGCTATTATAGAGCGCTTCATACCTTGAGAGGAGGTTTGTTTAAGGCCGCTAACCTATGATTTCCTTCCTCTTCTTCTAAACCAAGTACAGTGTTTTTAACATAAGTGGGACTATATCATGAAGCAAAGTACTATGTAATGATTACGAAAGTCCTCTACAGTGACTTCTTATATATGTCATTGATCATTGTAATTCCCCAATGACTTGCTGGGATACTCAATCCTTATTCTCTCTATAGGACCAATGGACATAATCTTATACTCTTCCAAGAAAGGACACATAAACCTTTAAGACTGACTTGTTATCTGATACAAAGATTCACAAATCAAATTATCTTTAAATTCAAGAGTAATGCTTTCCATCAAAATGTAATCACCAGAATAAACAAAGTCCCCCTCCTGTTTTAGTGGACTATTGAGAGTGTATTAATTACGACAAGCAGCGTGCTTCCAGTACAAGATCTACTTACTCCAACGAACTCAATCTCATCTTCACTTTCAGAAGCTGGTGATTTACTCCTGTGAAGGCTGACAGAGCTACGAGACTCCATTATCTAAATAGACAGAAACCAGAATAAGATATAGCATTTTATTTTTTTTTCTTTTCTTTAACTATACAGCATTTTCCATTTTATGCCTGCTTTGGCTTTACAGTCTATCTGCACTCAACAAGCCTGTCTCTCATTCACTGACAATTACCACTGATACCCAGAGAAGAAATAAACGACTTAGACTCGAATCAAGCTGCTGTATTTTTCCAAGTACGCAAAACATGGCTAAACCTACAAAGCATCCCAACACCTATACTCCTCCAGCAGCCACCGCTGCAGTGTAGCAGCCCAATAACATGCTTGAGGCTGAAACCCCAGCAAGAGCCAAGGCCCAAGCTTCAGCCTAGCGGGGCCCAGGCACGACTGAGCCGGGGCGGGCCGGTAACAGCCGCGGGCGAGCGCGGACGTTTCGAGCAGCCGGGGCTGTGGTGGCTGCTCCGGGCCGCTCTAGGTCCGCCGCAGACCCAGAGGGCTGAACCTCCTGCTCCAAAACAAGCGCCGTCCCGCCCAGCCCCGTCCGTGGAGCGGCCCCGGCATCCCTGCCCGGCGGGCGGCGGTGCTGACTCACGTTTGTGGCCCCGCACGGGCCCCCGCCCCGCGGGCTCGCCGGGCACAGCCCCGCGGGCGCTGTGCTCAAACCGGCGGCCCCGAGCCCCGCCCCTGCCCCGCTCACTCGCCGCCCCCTCCCGCAGGCACCGCCGTCCCGACCCGCCTCGCCCCCGCTTCCTCCGCGGCCCGAGGGCGGCGCGGCGGGCAGGGCTGCGGCGGGCGCGGCGCCGCTCGCCGGCAGCGGGAGGTGCCCCCGCAGCGCCCTGCGGTCCCCATGGCAGGTGCCTTCGTTCGGCGGCACTGCCATGGCGCAGACCCCGGCCGGCGCTCCGGGCGCTCTCCTTCTCTCGCCTTACCTTCAGCTGGGCTGCACCGAGTTCCTGCTCGGAGGGGGAAACCCCCACGCCGCTTCCGGGGGAGGAGGAGGAGGACGGGCGGCCATTGGGGCTGGCAGCGGAAGGGAGGGGAGGCGGGAAAATCGCCCCTCCGCCTGCCGGCGCCCAGCCCGCCTCCGGGAGGTCCTGTCCAGCTCGGGCATCTGCAAAGATCCTTCCTGAGGATCTTACGGGAGGTGATGCCAAGGGCACTAGTGAAGTCCAGATAAACAATGTTCGTTGCTCCACTCATCTACCAGGGCAATCAATTCATCATAGAAGTTTATCAAGTTTATCAGGCCTGATTTTCCCTTGGTAATTCCATACTGATGAATCAATGGTTTTCTTCACACTGAAGTACCTGGATATGGTTTCTGGGAGTAGCTGCTTCATTACCTCCCAGGGATCAGGATACGGCTGACCTTATCTGTGTGACCTCCTTCCTGTCCCTCTTGAAGATGGAGGTGGCATTTGCTTTCCTCCAGCCTCGGGCACCTCTCCCAGCCACCATGATCAAAGATTATTGAGAGTGGCCTTGCTATGACATCTGTCAGCTCTTGTCGGTACCTGTGGGTGCATCTTGTTAGGGCTCGTGGATTTAGCATATGTCCAATTTGCTTAAGTATTCTTTGACTTGATCCTCTCCCACCAAGGGTACATCGTTCTTGGTCCTGCCTTTCCCCCTGATTTCTGGAACCTGGGATTTCTGATGGCTGGATTTGCTAGGAAGGACTGAGTCAAGGAAAGCATTCAACAACTCAGCCTTTTCCATGTCCTATGTCACCAGGTCATCCATCTCATTTAGCAATGGGCCTACATTTTCCCTAGTCTTCCTTTTGTCACCTATGAACTTACAGAAGCCATTCTTGTCTTTGACGTCCCTAGCTAGATCCAATTCCAGTTGTGCTTTAGCTTTCCTAAATTCATCCCTGTATGCTTGAACAATGTTTCTGTATTTCTCCCAGGTTAGCCATCATTGCTTTTACCCTTCGTATGCTTCCTTTTTGTATTTGAGTTTGACCAGGAGCTCCTTGTTCATCTACATTCAGTCTTCATGGCATTGTTGCCTGATTTCCTATTCACTGGGATGAACTCTCCTTGAGCTGGAAGGAAGTGATCTTTAAATACTAATCAGGTTCCTTGGGCCCATTTTCCCTCCAGGGCAGTACCCCATGGGACTCTTCCAAGCAGATCTTTGAAGAGCCAAAATTCACTCTCCAGTGTTGTGAGCCTGCTTTTTACACTTCCCCTCTCCTCAGGATCCTGAGCTCCACCATCTCATGGTCACTACAGTCAAGACTGCCTTGAGCTTCACATTCCCAACAATCCCCTTATTGCTATGAGGTCCAACAAAGCATTGCTCATTATTGGTCTTTGCTGACTCCTTTATGACTTGGAAGAAGTTGTCAGTGCACTCCAGGAACCTCCTGGATTGCTTATGCCCTGCAATACAGTCCCTGCAGCAAACATCTGAATGGTTGAACTCCCACATGAGAATGTGAGGCTGCTCTTATCTCTCTACCACATCTACTTGTTCTTCCTGGTCAGGCAACCTGTAGCAGACACCCACTATAATGTCACCCTTACCTGTCCTTTCTTGAATCCTCCCCTATGAACTCTCATTTGGTTCCCTGTCCATCCCCAGGCATTGCTCCATGCACTCCAACCGCTCTTTCACATAAAGGACAACTTCTCTTGCTTGATGTCCCATCCAGTCCTACCTAAAGAGCTGGTCTCTCTTCATGGTAGCATTCCAGTCACGGAGGCCATCCCACCGCATCTCTGTGATCCCAGCAAGATCATAGCCTTGCAGCTGCACATGAACTAACTCATCATGTTTATTCCCCATGCTGCATGCGTTAATATGCATGCACTTTAGAAAGGCACCTCAGAATGTTGACTGCCTAGAAAGGGATTGGGGGATTTCTCCATTATGGTGTTTTGTAGACATTTCTTTGCTTACATCCAAAGAAGGTGACCCCTCTTAAGCCCCATCTTGTTTTGTGTGTTCCTGTCACACTACCCTATGCCCTTTGCTTTTCTCTTTGTCCATCAATCCCTCACAGGGCTGCTGGTTACTCTCTCCCTCTCCCTTACTTCTTAGTTTAAAGCCTTCCTTGTGTGATAAGCGGTCCTACTGGTAAAAATAGCTTTGCCCTGCTTAGTGAGGTGGATCTCATCTCTCTCAAGCAGACAGTGATCTGCAAGCATAGTCCCATGGTCATACCACTCAAATCCTTGTCACCAACACAGGTTCTGCAAACAATTATTGATTTGTCCTATTAGTGCCCTTCTCCTCATTTCCCCTCACTGGCGGGGTCAGGAAAACATCACTCAGACCCCCATGCCCATGATTCTTGCTGTTTATCTGCTACTGCTCTCCTGCTTCCTCATGTAGTTACTTCTAGCCACCTAAAGCAAAAGTCAGTATGAATCATCTCTACTCAATGCATTGGCTTTGAGTAAGCTGAACAGTGCAAATGTCACCTATGAGTTGTGTGTCAGTATAAAAGAGCTGCTTGCACACCCCCAAAGCACTTCACTGGTGTGTGCTTATCAAATCCTATATACACAGGAGAGAAAGAATTCAAGGTTGCATGTAAAATTTTGGTGTTATGTGAGCTTTGTGAATAAACAACTATCAGCAAGAACATATCATGTGGTATTTAATGTAAGCATTAATTTGGTGCACTTTTTCTTGAAAACACAGAGTTTAAAAGTTAGTTTAAAGCCTCTTCCATATATGAATGAAAAAACAGCTTTATGACAGGAGATGGATGTACTGAGCTGCTAGTTATATCTACTCATTATATACTCATTAACAAATTTGTACAACTTAATCACCCTTGTTGAACTGTATAAACAACACTGATTTGACCAGTTTTATTTTATAGCTAAAATAATGGAAATCTGACTACTACTTGGAAAATGGAAGTCACTGTTGCAGCTTAAACTCTAATATTTTGCATTTATAACTTAAATTTGCTAACAGAATGTTGATAGCAGTCATTCTGTTTGTGGCTTGCTTTTGCACTTCATAACTTCTGATTCTTGAGAATAGATAATATGAGGAGCCATAGTAACAAGTTACTAAAACAGCAAGGTGATATTATTTTTCCAAACTCTGAGACCCTGTGAAGATGACACTAATTTGAATATGAACTTTTCAGTAGTAATTGATGTAAATGTTTACTCATGCAATGAGCAATCCAAAATTCCTCCTTGTATGTAAACAATACAGTTAAGGAAAAAAAATAGGAAGGGAATTGCTATGCAGTCATGTCAGCATTTCCAACATGCTAACAAAACTCTGAATTCCAAAATTTGTGTATTTCATCTAATTCCATAGAAAGCACAGTTTTCAGACTTTGAGCCAGCTTAGGAATGTTCTTATGTAGAGCTTGTTGGGAAGGGAAGGAGAGGGGAGGCAAGGAGAGGAGAGGCAGGGGTTTTCATAAGCTTTTCATGAGCAAGTTCAAACATCCACATGAGGTCTGCGTATCATATAGAATGTGGAAGCTGTTTCTGAGCAGACTGTCTTTATAAACTTAGTAATGCTCTCTAGCAACTAATTCCATGTAGTCACTATGTGTCCTTAATTATAGAGTAGGTTTAGATTAGATATTGGGAAGAAATTCTTTACTTGAGGGTGGTGAGGCACTGGAACAGGTTCCCCAGAAAAACTGTGGATACCCCATCCCTGGAACAGTTCAAAGTCAGGTTGGATGGGGCTTTGAGCACCTTGGCCTAGAGAAAGGTGTTCCTGCCCATGACAGGGGGGCTGGAACTGGTTCCTTCCAACCCAAACCATTCTATGATTCTGTGATCTAAATTCAAACATATTTAAACTTCCTTGTTGCTCTCTTTGCTCCCTAAAGTAAGTGAAATACTGATTGCCCTTTTAACCATTGATTTCCCTCTGGTATCAACATGGCATACTGCCACTTATTCTTGATCTAGGAAATTCAGGATTTTTTGACTACTTTTGTATACCCTAATAAGGGAAGACATGAACTTGACATGCATTAAACCCCCTGATTCAACAGTATGTTTTTTCAGTATTCTTCACATATCTCAATGTTCTTCCTGCCTTAGAAAGCAAGTGCTCTTCTGAGCATTTCATGATAAACAATGAACAAATTCTTTTCCATGGTAAGCTTCAAATTCAATCTAATATGCACTAATAGAAATAAATAGTTCCAAGTATTACTTTTAGTATTCCTTACCTTTTCAGTAGTAACTCTACAGTTAATAAATACCATACAGTCATATAGTATATAGTTTCTTCTGCAGTAGCCATCAGCCTTCTCCAGTTGTGAGGATTGCAAATAACATGTCCTCTGTCACTCATATAAGAAGAATTTTACACTTTGGGACACCACACGTTTACTTATCACCAATAATTTTGATTTCAGTGCAAATTTTGGGAGAAGCAGCATTACATTTCAGGCCAGAGCTTTGTGGCAGAGACTGAAATGGTTAATGGCTTAAACATTTTTGAGATCACCAAAAGACTTTTGTCCAGTGTAACAAACTGCAAAGAAACAGCTGCTCATCTACCAAAACCCACCCCTCTCTGAATATGCCTACTAATTTGGACTGCAAAAGGACCCTGAGATAAGGAGTTACCATTGACCATCTATCCCAGGTGAAAGGAGAAGTATGTGCCCACAAGTGTAAGAGGTTATACTGCTAACATTTGACCACCTGCAGTAACTGCCCAGGTGCTGTAAGAGACTGGTGCTGATGGCTCACACAGTTGGATGGCTGCTTTGCTGGTGATGCACAGAGTGGCTTCCCAGGTGCAGAAGGATGTGCGTCCCTGCAGCTACAAACTGGACTCCAAGATAAGGGAAGAGGCTGATAAGAGGCAAATCCTGCAAGGTGGGATAGTCCTTCTTGTCAAGCCAATGTCCTCCCTTATATGATGGCTCAGCTGTGAAAACCCTCTGGGGAGCAGTGAAGACATTCACACCTAGGCTGAGCTGTTCAGCTGGGATGATGGACCCTAAAGGGCCTTGACTGATTCAACTACACTGACATAAGTAACAGCTGAAACATCTTACA